TTCATATGAATGCAGATTCACGGATGCTCCGTCTGTTGTGAGGGAATTGAACAAAATAGTAAGAAACTTTTGGATGGGAGAGTATATTACTTACAGAAATGTTCCACAAGAAGTGAAAGAAATGTGGTGGAATGAGTTCAAGGTAAGTTTTACATATTTTATTTTCTCACCAATTAAGTGTGGTGTAGTATATTGATGGTCAAGAATGATGTAAAGGGACCAGAACAACTCTGTAGTTTTCGATACCTAAAGGACCAGATATTTTCCCTGACATGAACTTTACAAAATCTGTCTATATTTGTCTGGTGCATGGTTATGGATATGTAATCATCATAATAATTTTTAATTTGTGTTTTTATTCATTGTAGCGGAAGTTCAAGTGGGAGGAATCGGAAGACAATGAAGTGAGAAGAATTTTCGATAAGAAAATAAGTGATTTTATGCGAAATGTCATGAATAGAGCGAAGAGCAAGCAAGCGAAGCCGTCTTTCTTTACAGCTGACAATTGGGAGGCAATTAACACATTTTGGGCATCTGAACAGAGTCGGCAACTCTGTGAGCGGAATAAGAAGAATCGATCTTCTAGTTCTAGTGATGGGTCTGTCACATATGCTGGGGGCTCTATCAACATTGCGGAGCATCGCAAACGAATGGTAAGTCTGTTAAATGAGTTATCAGTTAATTTAATTCAATTACTCATGTTTACATTTTGTAGGCACATGAATTGGGGACGGAACCGACATTTGCAGCTACATTTGAACGTACATTTCAAAAGAAAGATAAGACATGGACTGGCGATCGAGCAAAAGCTGTTAAGGTATGTAAGGTTATACTTTGGCTTATATGTAAACTATAATGAAAACCGTGAATGCTTTCAATATTTTTGGTAGATATATATAGTGATTTTATTTTCATCTATATTGTTAATGTAGGAAAAATATGATGAACTTTTAATGAGCAGTGCTAGTGATAGTGATGATTGTCCTGAGTCCCGGCCACCAGTTGATAATATGGCATTATGGATGGAGGCAACGGGTGGGGCGAAAAAAGGGAAAATATTTGGGATGGGATCATTATCAAGGATGTTCATGCCGAATGGTCCTGGAAGTTCATCATCCACTGGGACTGGTCGAAGGAGGTCACGACCAGACGAGAATTTGACCCAAGAAGTGCATCGTCTCAATAATTTACTTGTTAAGAAGGATGAACAAATACATAACTTGGAAGAACAAATGAGAGTCGTTATGCAACACCTTAACATCAATCGCTATGGCGATCCTCCTGTACCTCCAGCCAATCCAGTAGGTGATGGGTACAATGATAACCAACACATTGATGCCGAGAATGCTGCTGATGATGATGATGATGAAGATTTTCTCCGGTCTTTCTAGTTAAAATTCTCAAAATCGGGGGTAAGCTTGCTTCATAATCTTGATTTTTCATAATTTCACTCATATTCATATGTAAGAACATTTATGTTCGTCCCGAAACGTATTTTTGTTAACCCTTTTGTTAGTTTACACCTAGTTCCATATCCATGCATAAACGCTTTTTTTATATTCTGGACTGATTTATGTATCGACATTTCCTCACGTCTCGACAAAAGTGACTACTTTTGGTGTCCTGCCATCGTACCAAAGCCGCGTCTTCTTCTGTATGATTTTTTTGCGTCTTCTATGGTTGTCCCGTCTCTTAGTTCATGTTTTGACTGTATTGTAAGATTGGATATCAAATAGTATCATGTAAGACTCTACAACTTTCCTTCTGTTATTTGTTTCAATTATATGTCATTGTGGCTGGTTTGTCAGAATTTATGGTTTGTTCGTTTTTCTGTTTCAATTATATATCATTGTCTCCTTTGATTGATATGGATAAGAATTTATGGCCGAAATGATATAAAAATAGCGACGAATATTTTAAGCCGAATTTTGCTATCATTAAAGTTTGTCACTAATTTGCGACGAAATTCGCGACGAAGTTTCTAACGAAATTCGCGACAAATTTTACGACGAAAATTGCGACGAATTTTGCGACGGACAAACGTCCGTCGCAAATTTTGCGACGAAATTGCGACGAATTTTGCGACGGACAAACGTGCGTCGCAAATTTTGCGACGAATTTTGCGACCGACAAACGTCCGTCGCAAATTTTGCGACGAATTTTGTGACGGATATTTGCGACGGACAAAGTTCGTCGCAAATTTGCAACGGAATATTTGCAACGAATTTTGCGACGGACTATGTGCCGTCGCAAATTTGCGACGAATTCTTTTTCGTCGCAAATTTGCGACGAACTTGTGAATTTTCCGTCGCAAAATTTTGCGACGACCGATTAGCGACGGAATTTTTTCCGTCGCAAATTCGATTTGCGACGGATTTTTCCACGTTTTCCGTCGCTAATCCGGTGTTTTTTTGTAGTGCTCCCACAACTGCTCATAAGTGAGATGTCTCTCAAAATCAACTTTCTCACATTACTTATCTTCTGTTGTTCTTCCACCGGCTCAAGCCTCAGAATGTGCAACAAGCTTGTCACCTGTTTGTGGCACCAGATTGTTGTTTCCAACAGCATTATCGAACTCTTGTTGATAGTTGAATCTTGCCATATTAATCTCCTCAAATCAACAAAATGACTTACGTCAAGCATGCCAAAAAGATATTTCACCAAAAACGTCGATAAGTGAATCGACAAAGGTTGCAAATGGTCTTTTGTTGATTTTGGACATTAAAGTAAATGAAAAGGATTTTAAAGCTACGACAATGGGTAAAATCGTTGCCAGTGATGTAAAATGCAGGAAAATGAACAAAAAAGATAAAGGATTGTTCCTTTTGTACTTTTGAATTTCTTATCATTTACTTTCTTGTCCAAAATTAATAAATGACCATTTGCAACCTTTGCCGATTCACTTATAGGTTCATCTATATTTTCTAGGGATATTTCATCATTTTCGGTGAAACAATTATTGTTATTATTACTATTATTAGTATATCAAAGTATATGGATTTATTTGTCATATTCCTTAAATGATATGTTCATCAATTCTTAATGTTAAGTTATAACTTGAGGCCATCTCTCTCTATCAATTATTAAAATTCTCTTTGAATCAAGATTAAAAACAAAGTCATTATTGAACAATAAACTAATAAAGTGAAGCTTATGAACTTCTATTTTATCTATTTTCTGAAATCAATTTCAAATTAAGTGAGTTTTACATAAAAGTATTCTCATTTCCGTTTTCTTCTGAACATATTTCTTTAATTAGATAAAAGCTATACTTAAATAACTGGATTTCAAAAGAAATTTGTCTATTAAGTTGCAATTTATTTTCATAAAATTTTGCCGAATTAAATGGACTATATCACTTTTCTGACCAAAAAAAATATATACTATATCACTTTAATAATTCTTGTATTTGCTTGAATGAAAGGAACTATATTGTTTAACAAGAAAAAAAATTTATTCGAGAACCTATTTTATTCCTAGTTTGATATATTATGCTAAACGAAATAGATTAAGTAATTCATTCTTAGTAAGATAGATCTGGTTGAATTAATTAAAGTACATCATTTCAATAAAAATTGTATCATTTAAGTGTATAAGTGTATGTTAATAAATTATGTTTAAGAAAATCTATATCCTTTATAGAACATACTTATTTGGTATACTCTCTTTGTCCTTTTTTTCTAATTTAAGATCAATAAAAGATGCATGTTTTTGGATGATAAGATCAGTAAGCTAATCACCAGTTGTTTGTGTGGTCACGTGGAAAAACTATGCCACGTGGCCAGTTACATTTTTTCCACATGGCCAGTTACAAAAGTAAAGTGAAATGTCACTCTTAAGTTTATTAAGGGCATGTTTTGTTGCTGAAAGAATTTTCCGCGAATTAGTTTTCTGAACTTTCAGGCATTTGATTTGCTAAAAATGATCAATTAATGAAAAATCATTTACGGTTAAAGAAAATATATATACTTAAAGTTAGAAAAGTGAATTCCCTAACCTATGCCGTTTGAGGAGTTAAGTCCACGAAAACTCTCTCTCCCTCTCCCTCGATGTTTTTTCTCTTCTAAGCTGCCTTCCAGCCCTCTTCTTCCGAAACTGCATCCCTGAGGAGACAGAGGGACCTTCCCCTTTCCCTCCCTTCCCCTTTCCCTCCCTCTCTCTACCCCTCTCTCTCTCTTCATCTTCAAGATTACTTTGTTGATTTTGCGAACGAAGCGGTCGACATCCTCCATGGAAGTGGAGAGATTTGTCCTGTGAGCTCTGAAGATCAAAACACGAACGCCTATGGAAAAATCTGTTCTCTCCGAATCTGCTCGCTCGCTCTGGCTCCGAGTGCTTGCTCTAAATAGTCGAGCACTTCGCAAGTCTCCGAGACTCCTCTACTGCTGCCTTCAGCAGTTAGCTTATCTAAAAGTGATTTTGTGATCAACTAGAGATCTAGATCTAGATCTAGATTTGGGTGCTATTTTATCCCTATCTAGATATAGATCTGGGATTTACAATGCACTTTTTGTGGTCTTTCACCCTGTGTTGATGTTGTCTATATACGATGATGGTGTTCGGGACGTCAAACCTAGGCACACATCGCCTTTTAGCAAAGCAATAGCTACTGGAGAGGGAAGTCTTGAGCACCACGATGATGATGCAAGATTCGGTGATCAACTGCCGGCTGTGCTTTCATGCTATGACAGATCCGACTTTGTGAAATGAGTGAATCCCTACAGGCTGTACCAAGTTGATTCACTTTTCAAATTTACTTACTTTGTGGGATTTGCATATTTATCTTGAAGTTATGTACCTCCCTTTAATGTGAAATGAATATTTTCCTTCTAATAAAAAAAATTCCTTAACTTGAAAAAGAGAAAAACATTTTCCTTGAGAATGATTTTCATGAACAGCATTTTCTCTCGAAATAAAGGCACCCTAAGACTATATCACAAAATTAATTTACTGAATGGTGTAACGGGGTGTGCGTGAGTGTTAGAAGGCGACTCACTTAATTTAAGATTCAGCAATAGTCTGACACGTTTCATAAATCAATTCCACAAATTTGTCTTGGCATATTCGGACCGATGTTTGGATTGTTAAATGTCAAATAGCACAAAGAAGGGGAGGCTGGGAAAGATGGAGCCCAATTGCAGAAACTGGTGCTATTGTTGGGCCGAACATGCTTGTCCTCGTTTGTGCTGACCGTTTGATCAGGGAAATAGCTCGAGAAACTGCAGAGGTTCTGCTAATTTCTTGTCTCCTTCCTCTGCTCACGGGTCTGCAGTTGCCATGGGACACGAGGCTAAAAGTAAGGTCATACTCTTGAATCGAACTCCCAAACTCTAGAGCAAAAGCTTCGAAGTCTACAAACTAAGCAGGTTTACCGAGACGAAAAATGCGATCGCAGATATTTACCCGACCGTGCTTTCAACACCGAGCCTCTTAGACTTTTCAGGCCCCGATCCCTCGTCCGGTTTAAAGCCGACACTCATGAGGGATAAGAGCAGCAAGAACTTTGCCTCATGCATGTGTCATACTTAATGTAATTCGGGCTTTCATCCCCCGATCAACGTCCCCAAAAAATGACATAGGTAAAAAATTCATATCCCGTCTATCCATCCCGTTAGGACGCAGCTCAAATCTATGATCTCATGAAAGAGAACCACTTTACCACCTTTGGTGAGTCCCCTGCCACTCAAGAAATGGAAATCAAGAAATGCAAAAGAAAATGAGAATCAAGAAAACCAGCCTCGCAATCGATTCCGCAGCAACACCAGATGATGTTAGAACCAAATTAAGCGGAGACATAAAGCACGCAGAGAATCAGTCTATGGAACACGAATAAGATGACTACAGAAGAGAGAGAGAGAGGAACAAAAGAAACCAAGTTACTCTATTTCATGGACAGAGATCTTACGCTTCGAAAAATGATAATCATGTGACAGCATAGAATTTGATCTTTGAGCCATTTATTGGAGCACAACTGCTCGCTAAGGTTGCCACATTCACTTACCATGAAACAACAGAAGGCATCATCGGAAATTTCAATTGAACTAACGGAAAATGATCTACAGAAAGAAGCTAGTAATCTGCTCCACCTATGGTTTGCATCAAGTGACCTGAGGGAAAACTTTTCGAAACAGATGAAAAATACCATAATGTGATAAGGCAGCTGTTACTTCACAAGATAACTCATCTAACAAAACTGGATTGTCATTGGAAGTTTCTTACTCGAATTCTACACGCATGCTATCTAATAGCTTTGACCGGCGAATGACTCCAGTATGTCGTAGTGACCATACCCATGAAACAGGACGTTGATAGGACTCTCTTCATCCTTCCTATACTCTTCGCCGTACTTTGCAATATTGACCAGACTGCCAGAGCTTCTATCCACCATGAAGACCGAGATTAATGTCCTGAGCCAATGATGTAAATGTGTAAATGCAAACACAAACATGAGTACACATAAATCCAGACCAAAACAAATTAATATATACACAACAACAAATTATATACCATCATTAAGTAAAACAAAAATTCAAGAATGAAGCTCGAGCTTAAAGTCCAACCTCAATAGTGAGAGAATTAAGGCACTACTATATTAAAGGGATGCAAGAGTAATGACTGGTCTAGCACCATTAGGAACAGAAATGATCCTTCAGTTTGTCAGAGTTACTATTGCAGCGATCTTCTAATAATTGTACCAAGACGGTCATAAAGAATGCCAGGCAGTTAAAGCGAAATAAAAGAAAAAATGGCCTGCTACACAAAATATCAAAATCAGTAAGCAAAATGGCCAAAGAACTCACTTCAGGACATGAGAAGCCATCAGCAACTCTGGTTCTCCGCCCCATACATAAGGTTGTTGGATCCTCTCAATATATGCATCGAAGTCTCCTTCAATGGCCCTGAACATATAAAATGAAAACCATATCATGCCTTAATCCATCATCAGCTACACATTGCGTATGCCCCATCACACGAAAACTTACCACTCTGTTTCTTCCCGCCTCTTTAAGAGCTCATCCACAACCTGCATGGCAGATGGATCATACTATCATGAGACACCCCAGATTATGAAACATAGCAAGAGAATTCTCGTAGAAAAATTTATATTCAACAGGAAACTATAGAATGCCAATTTTACTTGAGCTCTCAATTCATCAGCGAGCTCTCTCTGACGATTGTCATCTGGAGCTGCTTCTCCCTTTCTCAAGCACGCGCAATGAGCTATTGCTCTGAATAGGCATCGACCATCCGCCAGCACCCCTGTATCATTCCTTCGAAATCAGATACAGATTGAACTGAATTTACAAGTCACTATAGTTACGCAATTTGGTAGCACAAGATAAAGGTGGACAGTAAGAGCTGCGCTGCTTGGGAATTGGAATGAACAATCTATCCACTCATCAATTAACAACCTAGGATACAATTCCACGCACATACATATGCAAACATGTATCAGGAGAAAAGAAATTTTCCATTTTCCCAGTCATGTCTACTTGTCATCAAGCTCAGCATCCGAAAAAATGGAGGTTTTAATCGAGTGATACGCATAAAAAGTTAACTCGCTTGAGCAACCGCCCAAGAAATTGTCACATCACCTAGCAAACAACTTTCAATGCTCTAGGATTATGTTCCAACTCAAAACACACACAAATGAAAGTTCAGTCGGCAACTGAAACGACGAACTCGATGCAAAGCTGTCGAGCACTTGAATCTAAAATAAAATCGAACACATCAGCCACCAACCCAACATAACGAACGTCATCAGTTACAGGGAAATCGATTTCAGCAAGAGCACGAAATCAAAACTCCAAAACCCAAAAAACAAAACTTTGACGAGACAACGTATCAATTTAATCTAACACTAACGTAATCGAGTCACTGTTCCATTGCAGAGCTACCATAACGCACGAGTCTCACTAGTAGCCTATGGATACACCAGTAAGAAGCAAAGGCATATGCGCAAACAGAGGACACGCATCGCGCTAAGTGCAATCTATCATCTCCGCGCACACACGCGCACGCTTTTATCCAGAAATAACCTGTCACTCTGTAATCAGGAGAGTTCCGCTTCGCCTCGTCCGAGGAATCGCAATCCTCGACCCTCTCCTCCGGAACGATCTCCTCGCGGTTCAAATCGGCCGCGTCAACCGGCGCGAGGCAGGCGCAGACGCCGAACAGGAGCCAGGCGGAGTCCGGCCTGTGCAGCCACCGGGCGGGCCTCGCGTCCCAGGCCACGTTCCACGACCCCTCCCCGCGGAACACCGGCCGCCGGGGATCCATCGTCCGCCGGGAGTCGCCCTCCCCGGACGGGAGGATCGCGTGCCATATCGAGGCGACCCCGCCGGGGTGGGCGCCGCAGGGGGAGGAGCCGCCGCCGGAGCCGAGGCGGCACGAGCTGGAGTGGTGGCGCCGGCGGTCGGGGGAGTCGGCGGCGGCGGCGGTGAGGGCGGCGAGCTGGAGGCGGACGGCGGAGGCCCAGGGCAGACGGCTGCAGTGGTGGGCCGCGGAGGCGTGGGAGAAGCAGGAGGCGACGATCCAAGGCTTGGGGCGCGCGCACAGTACCCCGAGCATCAGCGGTGTCTCGCGGGAAAGCGTAGCGGCTGCGGCGGCTGCGGCGGCGGCTGCGGCGGCGGCGGCGGCGGAGCTCAATCCCGAGCTTCAATGGCGGAGGAAGAGAGAGCGTGCGAGCGAGAGCGAGCGAGAGAGATGAACATCCATGAACAAATGCGCAAAATGGCGAGAAAAAATAAAATACATGAAAAAAAATTGCGTTTGGCCTTGGCAGGTGAATTCTTTTTATTTATATATAAATAAGAATATTATTTTCTTTTTGGTTTTTATTTTTTTTTTATTTTTTTTATGGGGCGCGTGTTTGGTGAGGGCGTAAGCAATTTGGGGAAGAGGGGGGGGAGTTGGTGTGACCAGCTGCGCGCGCGGTCGTACAAGTGGGCCCCACGGCGAAGGGAGAATAGCATCTACTGTAAGAAGATTCCAAGTTCACATCGAAAAAGGGCAAAAGGGCAAAAAAAAAAAAAAAAAAAAAGGCGAGTTTGATATTTTCGAGCTACTTTTATTCCATGAAAAATGAATAATTTAAAAAATATTCTTTCAAAAAATGATCGATTGTCTCGCTCGAAGTAATTAGTCAATGGAAGATATTTTCATTATTTAAATATTTTTTCGTGTATAATGAAAAACATTTTCCATTCGTTCATTTTCGTTGACAGAGAGGCCTTTTTTTTCAGTTTACGGACATTCAAAGAAAATTTCTGATCGTGGGATTGTCGATGTTACTGTTGATTGAGGAAAATTACGGCATATGAGGACAATTTCTGGTTGGCGGGGCCCTTTTTTAAGTTTACGAGTGGCGACAGAGTTTTTCGATCATGGATGTGTATGGTACCGAAAAGTTGGACAAGGGAGTTTACGATCGATGAGTGCACATTCATTACGGCTCTTCGTAAGGAAGTTGCTATCGATTAGGGTATCCAGCCTCGTGAGACTTTTAAGGTAAATTACTGTGTTCGCGGGATTTTTGCTAACTTTGTCACTTGCAATGATCTTATTAAGGAAATTATAATTCATAGTGGACATTTATTAGGCATTGCCACCTAAACTAGGATCAAATCTACAATGTTAGAAAATAAATTTCTATCTCCAGACAACCTCATACGAACGACTTTTCTCTAAAGATCAAACAAGGGGCTATACGGCGAAAACAACCTGATTATAAATCATCCAAATCATTCGGACTCTAAAAAAATATAAATTTCGCTCGAATTAGTATAATTGTATAAATTCCCTTCTCGTCTCGTGATTCTGACACGACATGAATGTCTCGAAATAATAATAAATAAATAAATAAAAATGACGAAGATCGCAATTGAGGTTGGCATAGAGAAATATCTTTCGGAAATTAGGGGCATGCGCAGTCAACGTGGTTGCTACTAAAATAAAATGGCACGAGTCATCATGGATCGCGTCACGGCTCACGTGTCTCTACTCGGAAAGTTAAGCATATTTTGATGCTAATGAAAAAAGTAAAGTTTACCTTTTGATTTCTTTTATCTTCTTCTTTTTTCACTTTTCTAGGGAGGAAAAGATATCTCATGTTGATAGATTAAGGTAGCGCATGATAACCATTCTGATTCTGTCCAGAACTGGTTTTTTGTTCTTAGAAATAGCTTTGGATCAGAAACCCGTTTGGTAACGCAATTCTATTTTTCTATTTCTAGAACAACTTTTTGTTCCAGAACCGATTCTGAACCAGAAATCAGAACAAAAAAAAAGTAGGTTTTCTATTCCTAGACAAAAAATGAGAATCATTTCTGAGAGAACTCTTTCTTCAAAACACATGTTCATCTGGAAGTCACGGTCTTTGAGGTGGGAAAAAAAAGCAAAAAATCAAAAATTTCAAAACTTCACCGAATGGTTTAGAATACCTATGTCCACCCACTTTGAGCGAAATTTAATTTTTTTTAGATGCCAAAAAAATAAAAAATAATCAAAAAATCAAAATTTTCAAAACTTCACAGAATGTCTTAAAATACCTGTGGCCACTCAATTTGAGCGAAATTTAATTTTTTTTAGGTGCCGAAAAAAATTAAAAAAAGCAAAAAATAAAAAATTTCAAAACTTCACATAATGGCTTAGAGTACCTGTGGCCATCCACTTTGAGCGAAATTTAAATATTTTTAGGTGTCGAAAAAATAAATAAAGAGCTGAAAATTTCAAAAAGAGTTGGCAAGATTAATGTAAAGAGAAACCGAAAACCGAATAAATAAATAAAATAAAATAAAAACAGCAAACAGACCAAATAAAGAGCTGCACAGTGTCGTCTACTGGGTCATTGCCACGTGCCCGCACAAAAAAGGCGGGACTCGCTGTCATCTGATTGGCCGATGGGGTTATAATATTCTAATCTCTGGTTAATTTATTGCGCTTTTTCCGTTGTTTATATTTCATCAAACAATTATTTGTTAATGAAGTTGAGTTTAAAAATTCAAAGCATTTCCTCATCTTATTGGAATTTTGTTTATTTATTTTGCTGACCCGCCGCCACCTTATTTTACTCGAATTCTTTTTTTTCTTTTTCTTTTTCCCCTTTTCTAATAATAATGTATATATCACATGCACCAACCATTTCGGTTGACAAACGTAAACGTAACCTCCAGAATCTTCACCTTTAGTTTTCTGCAGATTCTATGAACTACGACTTTTTTTTCTTCTTTTGCAAGCGAATTCTGACTAAAAGGAAATTACATAATTAGACACTTTCAAATAATAAATTGGCTAAATAATAAAATTAGAGATGAAAAGAAAAAATCAGACTTGCTTTCATTAGTCTAGTGCACGTTGCTTTCAAGACTTTAGTAGCAAGTTTTTGTTAATTTGAACGAGTCTATAGTTCTGAGAAGACGCCATGCTTCCTGAAATTTTTACCATTTGACGTTCAACAGATCTCGACCTGAATAATTGAGGTGTGTTACTTTCAATCAGGCGGTCACGGTCTCACGAGGCACCGTGCCTCAAGGGAATTATAGATTTAAGCCATTAATTTAGCCGTGCTTGGGAAGGGAGGCGAAAGGCGACCTAAGTATTTTTCTACATTAGTTTCATAAATCAGCTATAAAAGCAGGATTTGCTTATTATGCGTATTATGAACAAGTTTATCGGGGGGAAAAACGCGTAACTAGGTCTTTCCTCATTGAGTACGAGTTGCTTCACTCGCATCTCGCATTTTTTTTTCCAAATGTATCTATTTCTACATAGGGTAATTTATAATAGTTCATATTATTCGTATTTTTTTTGGCCGAAATATTATTCGTAGTAATTTATATTGATTTTCAAATATTAAGAGAGGAAAAATAAGTACACTCAGATTGGAAAAATCAAGAACATAATACATAATAACAAAGTTGCATTACTTCGAGAGTATACATCATTTCTAATCAAGCTGTTTATATACATGGAACTGATGCACGTGACCATATGACGAGACTTGATCACCAAAGTATCTCGAATCTTATTTTTAACGATTACTCATTTATAAAATTGACCAATTCACATAATTTCGCATCTTAATCTATACGATAGTAGAGTACAATTGGAGTGTTCAACAACCTATGGGGACATCAATTGCCTAATAGGTAAGTTCGAGGATATATATGTTTAACGGTTGGCTTTGATATTTATATAATTATAATATTACACTTTTGTGACAAATTTTAGAATGTGATTACACTTTTTGAAAGTTATAGGACTCAATTATACTTTCATGATAAGCGTTAGGACTTCCCGTGCACTTATCCTTATAATATTCATTAACTCGTTTGAATTGCTTCTGGTTTCGATTCGAAATCCAAAGCATCTTTATTTGCTATTAAATAAACCCTCGGGTTTTCGCATATATCCATGCCTTGCCAAGAAGGAAGGGAAAGAGGAAAATCACGAGTAGGAGGTGTAGGGTTAGCAACGGGACGAATTTGTGATGGTAGAAATTGGCATCAAGGGTGAAAATCCACATTCGATCACTTAAATTCGAAATTCTCGTACAAATTCTAGGAATCATGAAAATAAGTAGAAACTAGCATCAGGGGTTCCTATTTTGGGTGTACGTAATTATATTGGTGACCTTAGATTCTTCGTAAGAGCAACTATTTTTTATTATAGCGGCTCTCTTTTTCGTGTTTTGAATCACTCAAAGGACAAATCTCAATCCCGTCTCAAACCCTTACAAAGATTTCGCGGATGAAACCCGAAACCCGTCCCGTGACCCTAAATTGCAACCCGTTTTAAGTCCGCTAGGGCTCGGGGCTGGTCGAGTACCCTATTAGACCCAATCCACTACCATCCCTTGTCTCCTTTCCAAGCGAAGCCATTTTGTTTGAGCTTAGAACGGAAGAGAAGAGACATTCACGAGCTTGATGGAAACAATCGTTGTCCTTGACACCAAAAAATGAAAGGAGTCAAGCTCATCGAGAAGAACCGACGTGAACGTGGCAGCTCTACAACAACTCATTTCTACCTTATAAGAGTTGTGGACGGTAGGAGATCCTTCGAAAGGTCCACATGTTGTCATTATGTGCACAGCGAAGACATCATGTGCACACGAAACATCATTGTCCACCTCGTTTTATTAGTAGAAAAATAACATTGCAAAAATTAAACAACCAGATCGCCTCGAACCATTCCCCTCGCCAACGAAAAAAAAATGAGAAGGATGTTTAGGGGTGGCAACGGAATGAATTGGTGATAATTTGGGACAGTTGATTTTTTCCCGTCCATCCCATACTCTATAAGGCTTTGGAAATGGAATCCCAAGCCCATCCCACTAAATTATTGATAGACATTAGAGATGAGCAAACGGAATCGCTGGAACTGAACCGGATCAGTTAGTTTTGGGCGGTTCCTGCAAGAAATGGTCCAGTTCCCGATTCAAAAAAATTGAAATCGGTGAATATTGATCCGGTTTCGGTTTTAGGTGTGGACTCACCCACCCAGACTGGATCAATATTATAGTATACTGACCATGCGGCTCAAACACTCTCTTCCACGGTGTTGACCATATTACCATTGCTTTTTCCTCCTTCGAATCCATAAAGTCAAATGCGGGGTGTTTTTTTTTTATTATTTGTTTCTTCTTTTTCTT